AGCTGCATTCATGTTTCATGAAGCTCTCTCACTGTTTACATTTATTTATTTTCTTATTGTTTTAGTCAGGGCTGTTTAAAATTATGCATTAAGATGCACAGTAATGGCTTGAATCCAACAATGTTTTGCATATATTTCTTGAGATTTTTCCATATTATTAACAATCCCATCATTTGGATTAGAATCAAACAAAACCAGGTGTGAAACACATTCATATGTACACACTGTGATTTGTCCTTCTATACAGCAATATACTGAATTGTAATTTTATCATCTATATGTATTAATCGTGACTAATCATGCTTAATTACATACTTAATTAATGATGATTAATCCACATTTACCCTGTGATGTTTTACCTATGACCTTTAACTAGAATTTTACCATTTCATGTGTTGTTTTGCAATAATTTTCTTTCAAATCCAACTTATCAAACATTCATTGTCATTGTCACTTGGAGTATAACTCAGTTGAAATATTTGCTAAAAAGCATGTGGGAAAAACAACTTATTTTAGGAGACAATGTCCCAAATATACACACAATTAAACACACATTGTACAGCCGATGTTGAAAAAGGCGATGGTCAGCACTGGGCTGCAAGTTTGAAACTTTTCTCCTAGTGCTGATGCTTGAGTGACAATCTTTTTAATGCACTGTCAGCATACGCTGTCAGACAAGAGTGGGGCCCAACTATTACAGAGGATGTTTGATTGAAACTGTGAATTCTGATACAAAAAAGTTGTGGAGATGAGGAATTTGAAGAAGGTGTTAAATGCTGACTTTCAGTGCCCGACAGCGTTCCGTGCAAGAAGAGGATGAAGGCGTTAACAGTAGGGGAGAGGATAAGAGGGAGTGAAATTACAGTTGGAAAAGCTGTGGGAACAGGTTGAGAGAGGAAAGGGGCAAAAGAGGACAGACAGAGTGATGGGAAAATGATTTAAAAAGGGACTTGGAAGAAGCAGGACGAGGGTGAGGGGGATGTTGTTAGGACTAAAGAGAGTTGGATATTGAGATGTCAGACGAAAAAGGCTGAGTTTTTTGGGTGAAAACGGAGTAGGATTAGTGTAAACTTTTCTACAAGAGACAAAGAACTGCATTGAAGGTGGTGGGCAGTGAGATGAGAGAGATAAAGACGAAGACGAAAGCTGTAACAGCGATTCACAGAGTGCTGGAAAGAGAGGGCAGGCGGACACGCGGGTGGGCGAACGTGCAACCCAGAGGGAAAGCAACAGAGGGAGGTTGAGGGAAGGCGGGGTTTGCCAGCAGCTGCAGCCAGTCAGAGGCTAGTGTGGTGCTCTGCAGGGTGAATCTTACCCTGGCAACACAAAAGAATGCACGAGAGAGACCGAGAGAGAGAGAGAGAGAGAGAGCGAGCCGGTGGACAGGTGAACAGATGGCTCTAACTGAGAGACAAGCTGATCGGTGGACTACAGAGAGTGCATGTGTCTGTGTGTGCGGTTGAGTGCCAAAAAATGTTCAGTTGTCGGGAACAGAGACACAGGAACTGTTAGAGAAGGAACAGAAAAGTCCAGCAGTTCTCTTCCAGGATCATTACGTGCAGACTAAACCCCGAGTTATCTCGGTGAGCTGCACCACCTGACTCTGAAGTGCAATGACATATATATGATTGGATATGAATTGGTTAAAGGAGTCTGAAGCACAAATGTTCATCATATTGAGTCGGAAGGTGTAAAATTAGCTACATTGAAAAACTGGCTCTACAATTCCTTGTTACTAAACATGAATGATATAAGACCATTGTATTTGTTGACATACATAAGGTATAAAAAGGATTAGCTTCACATTAACAATAGGAGGATTAATCTATTTCTCAACATTTTGTCTTTGGTTGCACCTGAAGTTTTTTCTAAGAACTTTAAAAATGCACTTTCAGCACTATCAGGTGAAGAGAGAAGAATTCTGGATGCACAGAGGGCAATGGTTTGTGCAAGAACTGCAAGCGAGGATAAAGACTTCCACACACACACCACTGTGTGTTGATCCATGTGAACGCTGCACCGACACTTTGCCTGTTTTGTTTCTAGGATCTTTATGTGTTTGTGTCCTCACAGTGGGGATGGCGGTGGTGGAGGGCAGATGTCCACGCTTCAGTCACGTCTTTCGTGCTGTCCTCATTGTCATCCGCATCAAGGAAAATTGTTTTATTTCTATAGATTTTACCAGCACTGCTGTTGTGCCTTCTGTGTTTTTAGGTCAGACCACACACACGACAGGTGTCGTCTTTAAATTCTGGAAAGCAACGTGTGTGTTAATTTTACGTCGAGCTGCAGATCAGAGCTGTGGCTTGTGCCGCTGAGACTGACCGCAGCTGAATCAGACAGCTGTCTGCCCGCTGGAACAAATCTGTGTAATAACCTCTTTCTGTCAATAGATAAAACGCTGCTTTGACACCACAGTAATAATGATAACAGCTCCGAGTTTTAATGAGATTGCTATCAAAGAGTTGTTATTAAAGCTGAATGCTTCCTCCGCCGTGAGAGCCACATGGCATCATTACCCCCCTGCCCTCACCTAGAGTAGAGATTCAAAGCTCTTCAACCAAAATTAAAAGATTCTGTGCCCTCAGCTCCTTAGGGTTCACTCACCAGCTCATGCAGGTATGATTTACCTCCGGCGCTACTTCTAAGGCTGGATTACACACTAGTTGAATCATTCTCACTTAACAGTGATTGTGCGCCGCGGGAGTCGTGAAACATGTGGCCATGTTTTTTAATCAGACTTCACTACGATCCTGTCAAGCTTTACACCACAAGCGGTTGTTAATTTAAAAAAAAACAGTGTGAAATGTTAAAAATGTCCTTATTTACATTTACTGTTTGTTACTGGTTGTTGAGCTAGATGCAGTAAAAATGTAAAAAAAAACCATAGTTTCTAACCCTGTAGCAGACACTACGGTGAAGAAGTAAGCCACATGATACAATCCAAATGCTGTCTACAATTAGTACATAGCCTAAATTAACAATAATTGTCCAGAAAATGAAATTTTTAAATTTCTACAAAAGTTTAAACATGGACCTTGTAAGTGAAAAATAATTCTAGATTTAGTTTATTTGACTGCAGTAACTGAGATCTGAGTGTGTGTTTGCCTTGACAGCTAAGGTCCAGTTAAGGTCAAGGTCATTGTCTAGGTTATGCGTTTAATAAAAGTGACAAAATGTTGTCATTTTTTATTTTTTTTTATGTTTTCTTCAGGGTAGGTCGATGGCAAACCTGTTTGATTATTTAGTGTGCCAACAATGCTGCAATGCTACTGCTGCTTTGACTCAAGACTAGAGACTAGAGCTCCACATTATTTACTAAATATCTCCTCAAAGGTTTTCAAGAGATCTTGTAGTTTTCATGAGTCAGGTTATCAAAATATAAAGGTAATTACAAGGATTTATCTAAAGCAGTTTTTACTGTAATGCAGGGAGATGTAATAAGTCATGTCCTTGAGGTCTGACCCAAGAGAAAACATCTTTATTGAATAAACTGCAGGGATAACTGTAACTGAGATATTCAGTTCACTATCACCGAGGAACTAAGAAACCTGAGTGTTTTAATGTGTAAAAACCTGAAGGCTCTGAAGTCCTTCAAATTGATTATCAAAAGAGTTGTTGATTAATTTAGCAGTTGATTAATAATTGATTTTGTAGCAGCCCCAGTGGTAGCAGTGGCCAGGACCAATAGAAATAACTTGATTTAGTGCAGTGAATTACAGTTTATTATTCTGGAGCGCTGACACAGAGGAAAAAAGGCAGGAAAATAAGAGAGAAAAAAGGGTTAGAGACAGCTTTTCTTTTTTTAAAAAAAAATGCTTGTTTTATTTTAATGTTGCTGAAAGATTTCAAGGCCGGGGATTTCCTTTTCTCAGCTTAACTCCTGCCTTGAGCTTCTGCTTCAGTTTGAAATTAGCTTTGCTGTAAAGATCTTTCTCTCTGCTTGCCTGCCTGGTCAAGGGCCCACCAGCAGCTAAAGCTACTTAAGGGCAAATCTTGTTTAGCAGAATCCTCTCAAATTAAAAGCCCCTCTCTCTTTCTCTCTCTTTCTCTCTCTCTCTCTTTCTCTCTCTATCTGGATCTAGCTCCTTCTTCCAACCTTCTTGCTCTCTACAGTCTGTACCATTCTGACAGGCGGTAGCTGCGCCACCGACACCGCCACCCTTTACCATTTTGCTATCGCTCGGTGCCAAGATTCACACCAATTACAAACACTGTTGATTAGCCGGTGTGCACAGAGGTGTGACGCCGCGGTGTGTTTGCTGATATGCAGCATGACTTTATACATAGTTGTTGTGTTGAAATGCCACAGGCATTTACACTGGGTGAAGATTGTGATGCTTGTTTTTTTTCATACACTGTCATAGACCATATATAAAACATGGAAGGTGCTATGTGGTTGCAAATTCCAGTTTTAAATTAAAGTCATTCAAACACTCATTTTAAATGGTTGATCAAACTCACAGCCTCTGAGTGAGAGGTTTCATGGTCCTTCACCATGAAATACACATGGCAGCATCTGTTCTTTTCCATTTGTGTCATTTGTTTTAATTACCATTTAAAAAGTACACCTTGTAGTTGTGGCCCCTGTTTAACCTGTGACGTTCACGGAGCATGTGCTGCATGAACCAATGGTAGTAATAACCCAGGTTTATGTGGGTGGCAGGGGCTATTAATGATGACTTCATTAGTTGTATGAAAACTATGACTGATCGAGAATGTGTTTTTTACCCCCTAACGCCCTCTCTTTGCCCCTTGAACAGGCGTCTTGTAGAAAAAGCGTTGTGTAAACACGATGTCTTCACCAGGGTCAAACTCTTCCATCTGACTCCTACCGCTACAGTGAACCGGTGTAGGAGTCGGCGCAACGGAGCTACATCATCATGTGTTCTTGTGCTGTTTCTTCGCAGAGTGTTTCTGATCCCAATGTGTGCATTTCTCAAAAAATGAAATTTAAACGTGCCTCCTCCTTCTCCTTTACTCCTCTCTAACTGCTTCAGACATTGCGAAAGAAAGGGTTTAATGGCTGCAACAGCCCAGAGCACGACGGCGACGACTCCATTGACCAAAGCCCGCTTAATGAAGACAAGTTTCGCAAGACTGAGGACCTGGACAGTCTCTTCAAACGCTATGGCGTGAGTACCATCAAGCATTTGTCACCTTACCTAACCCATCCTTTCCTTTTTTTTCTTTTCTTTTCTTTTCTTTTCTCTCTGTCTACCTGTCTACCCTCTCTATTTTCTGCCTCTTCTATTGTTTGGGGAAACGAAGGCTCTGAACAAGAAAGAGCACCGGGACTCTGAGAGCCCAGACCCTGAGGAGCCCTTCTCCCTCACCCCCCGCACTGAGGAGAAATACAAAAAAATTGACGAGGAGTTTGATAAAATGATGCAGACTTATAGGCTGTCAGTGAGTACCCCCTCCCCCTTACTCTGTGTAACACTGCCCCCCCCCCTCCTCCTCCTCCTCATGTTTTTTACCTGCTGCTGCTGCTGCCACCAAACAGACAACCTGACGGCGGCCTGATTACTCACCACGAGCACTCGCCTTCACTTTCTCACCCTTTCACCTCTCACCCATCCCCCCAAACCTGCCTCATCGCAAACCACCATCTCGTCTAAAGGCGTGAGACTGAGTAGCAAAGGTAGAAACAAATAGACGAGCGGAACGACCAGAAGAAAAAATCCGTAAACAATTCTGTTGTTTTCATTCATTAAAAGCCTGTAATAATCATACACTGTATGCAAACGTTCAGCAGACGATGACACGGGTGAAAAGGTGAAAACGTCACATTAGACATTAACAACGATTAATGTGGCAACTGCCTTTGTAACTGAGAACTATCTTTGCCATCAAAATAGATTTTTTCAAATTTACTTACATAGTTGTGATAGTTGTGATATAAAACAATAACAAATCAAGACATAAACTGCAGTAAAATCACTACGAAATAAAACATCTGCAGGTTTTTTTAATGAGATAATAAATAACAAACTAGCTATCATTTAATTCAAATCTGATATCATCATTTCTCTGTGTCAGTTCAAATTTTCTATTCCTATAGCTCTTTATCTGGCGGATTTCACATTTATATTTAATTACAGAAGTGACAGATTTATGGTCAGTGGGATTATGCTGAAATATGAGTTATCGCTGCAGTTTTGCATGCTTGGACTAAAAAAAGTATTTTTTTTTTTTTTTAAAAAGGCTGTTTAAGACCTTTAAGTCCTCACAGTGAGGAGTGTCCTCAGGAGTGTTATGGCTTTAATACTCTTTTCTGATGTCTCTGCAAGTTCAGTGATAAACAACAGAGACAGAGGAGTTTTAAGTAGGTCCTCGTTTTTTTACAAAGTTGGCATAGCAACTGCTGTAGAGAAGGGAGATCATGTTTTACGATAAAAAAAACCTCCACACATTTAAAAAGATGCCTTTAAGGAGTGAAATTATTTAGCTGAAGGCTCAAGTCATGTAAGACTTTGCAACACTTAGGAAATGTGAGTAAAAGTCAAGCAGAGCTGCAAGGTTCTGTCCCTGCTGCTGACCCCCAGAGCAGGCTACACCAGAGCTCACAGTATAACTGAGGTCATCGCTGTCTCCTCTCACATTATCCAGGTTCTGCCTCCTGACTGGCGTCCTGCCAAACCTATTTTACCCCTGCTGTACTCTTGTGCCAATTTCTTCGTGATTCATTTTTCCCTCCATTCTTAATTATGCCATTAATGTCACTTTAATGAGCGGCACTCGATTTACAGCGTGCCGCCTCCTACCATTGGTCACCAGGGGATGGGACAGTCACATTGAGGCGGAGAGGAGAGTCAGATTTCCCTCAGCCTAACATGTAGTCTCATACCTGAAAGAAAGAGTCAGAGGCTTTTTTTTCCCCAATTTTTAATAGTCGGTCATATGTCATTTTGTGACATTAATTAGGGGTCACAGTCAGAAAATACACCACTATTTCTGTGCTGCGTGAGCTCTGCACAGAAACGTCCCTTAAAAGCTCTGCTTAAAAAGGGAGCTGCAGCTTAGGAAGCATAGAATTCAATCTTCCATCCCTGGAGAGCCATGACTCTCCGTGGTCCTCTGTTGATCCAAGCTGAACCTTTGTGGAGCGTAGTGTTTCTTGTCTACCACCACTGCCTTTCAGTTCTTGGGTATAAAGAAAGCCAACCATCTCACCACCCTGCGGCATCATAATCCCCAGCGTGACATCGAGGGGTTGGGTTATACAAGCTTAATCCCCCTTGTACTGAAATACCTCCTGAGGTAGGGAGAGGGTGCGAGGGAGGACGGCAGGACGCTGGAAGAGCCTCAAGCTACGACATTGCTTTCTCTTACGTCGGCTTTGTTGCAGTCTAAGAACAAGAAGTGCGTTTATTTACCATTGCTTTCTGGTTTGATCCTGTTCTGGCTCACAATTTGATGCTCTAGGGGAGTTGGAAGATTTTCTCCTTTGACAACGACCTATGTGGTGTCCCACAGCAAAGAGCTGAACATGTTGAGCAACTTTGCGTGAATATGGGGGAAAAAAGGATAATAAAAACAGCACTTGAGCTGCGTCTCTAAATTTGTTTTCGCAGGTTTTGCCAGCAGCTTTTAATTTCACTCTTAATTTCACATTCAATCTGTTTTCAAATTGATCCCCTGCGATTGGAAATGTCTGAGCACTTTAGACTGTTAAGGACAGATTTAAGAAAGTATAATACTGGTATTTCCAAAAAATGAAGTTAAATTGAAGTTTAAAGTGCTTTATATTGCAAGAATTAATCCTACTTGATTTGGAAGATGTATCTTTCGAAGAACTAGTTACAAAGTACATTTTTCGTAAAATATTTTCCATAATTTAAAAAAAATTCTCAAATGTGACCTTTGATTTAAAATATCTGTTCACATGATGCGCTGCTCGATTACATTTAGACATTTTCCAGTGATGTGTGTCAGCAAAATACCAGGGAGTAAGACTACTAGAGCCATATGAAGATGTAAGCAGTCCGGATGCCAATGTCATGAAAGTAAAAACAAAAACAAAGGAGCGCCGACATAGGTTAAAACTCTAAGAGATTTTTATCTGATTAATCCAATAATTCAATGGCTAACTGTTTGTTTTTTCTATCTTTGCTTACAGTCTTTTTTGGAGAGGAGAAATATGGCTCTGATTGGTTGACGTGTTTGATTTATGTTTGGGGCATTGTTATTGTTAGAACAGGTTAGAACTGGGCTTCCAGGCCTCTGACACTTAGAGGGACAGGGAAAGACCGTCAGGTTTGCCAGACGACGACATCACTGGCAGGTGCCTGTGATTAACAAAGTCATATCGCTGAAGGCCCAATTTTAGCTCAAGACCAAAATAACCGCATATGAATATGTTTTCATCCGTAACCATCAACAACCTTCGCTGTGATGTGAGAATTTGTGGTGCTGCTTCTCTCAGGTGTCGCGTTTATGTGCCTGTTGACCCTGACGCCCACGTGGTGTGGTGGAAAAAAAACACATTTCGTGTTTTCACGCCGTGCAACGGCTTGGAAACACAGCTCCTATTAATCACGTTTGATAAACGTTGCAGATGAAAAACATTTCTTCAGTTTTAATTAGACTGAGGCTACCACCTTCTGCTGAGCTAATTATCTTGTTTTCCATCTTCATTAATCAGTAGAATAGTTGAAATAAATATAAAAATGTTAGTTTTGAGGGGAAAAATCTATTGATGGACTTTATTGCATGTCCGAACAGAAGGCTTAGGAAAATCTCATCATTACCTAGGAGTTGCAACTGATGACACTGGTAAAACATTTATTGCCTTGAAATCCACTGTAGAGCCACAATAATAAATGCTATGATTTTCAAGGTCATCGTGTCACTGCTCATACACAGAATGCAACAATCCTCCATCCAAACAAAGAACCTGATCTGTCTTCAGTGAGAAGAGGAAGAGTCTGTGAAACTCGGAAGTGTGCTAAATGTGTTCTCATTTACCTTTGCAACCAAAGCCAACCTTGCGGATAATTCCTCAGAGGCCAGATGGATTAGCCCTCACTCTTTTCTTAACACAGAAGAGGCCTTGAGCTTCCTCACACCAGCCTCCTGAAAAGCCCCAACTCAATTATTTACACAACAGGTTGTGGCTATTGATTGATTTTCAATGGTTCCCTTCCTTAATCATGGCCAGTGTGCAATTAACCCTCCTGTCTTCAATTAGCACCATCACTGATGAGTGGAGCTGGAGTGAGCTGATGTAAATTCAGCTGTAACTTGCTGAGGACACAGAGTGATGCTCAGTGGTGTGTCGAGTGCAGATCAGGGCCAGAGAACTAATAGTATTAATATTCATAGAGACTTTTTCCTAGTTATGTCACTAACTTAGTAACCACAGGGCGAAGCTGTCAGAGACGTCAGAAGAACAGTCAAAGGTCAGCATGAGAGATGAAGTGTCTGAAGGGTTGAATTGTAGAAAGTTTTATTTCCAGCAAGTTAAAGTGTTGAAAGGCAAAAACCTCATTTCCATTGGATAGTGTTCATTTGATGGATTTGAATCCCGTTTAGAGGAAAATAGAGAACAAAGCACTGTAGATAATGCAGCATATGACAACAACAAACAACATCGTTAAGACTAACAACATTTCAGTTTCATTCAATGTCATGATCTTTACCTTTAAAACCAAAAAATACAAATCTGTATCTTCTGAACAACACGTGAATCTGGGACAGCTATAGAAGGACCACAAAATTAAATTTCTTTTTCGTCTTTAGTTCATACTTCATAATAGTGTAGCTGAATGTAAATAGCATATAACTAATAATAATAAAATGCCTATTTTTCTTGCTTTTAAGACTAATCTATTTGTTATGATATGAATTCACAGAGTGTTTGATCGAGTCTCATCACTTTCCTTCACCACTCAGTAGTTTCACTGATTTGACCCAGGGTTAAACCATTCCACACTTAAAGGCATGTGTTGCTCATTATCTAATTGTTTTGTTTTCTACTTGCTAATTATTCCCTATGTATACTTTTATGATGTGAGAACGTATGGATGTCTTGGTAATTTATATTCCAGGAACTACATTTAAAGCCACTTTTAGTTGCGTACGTTTCTTCTGTCTAAACACGTGCAGGTACTAAGACCCTGACCTGTTTGAAAAAGAGCTTAAAGGATAAATATTTAAAAAGATCAAGACAAATCTCTCCTCCATCCCCTCCGTTCTAACCCCTCACACCTACATTTACCCCTCCCCACCCCACTACCCTCTGCTTGACCGGTGTGCAGTGGTGCAGTGCTGTTAGCTGCTGTCTCCACCACTCACGGCTGAGTTTGTGCGCACTTCTAAACACAATCTTCGTTTGGAACTGAACCTTTAAAGTTAATTCATTCATGTCCCAGGACACTTAGAGCCGGAGCACTCACCAACAACGCTTGGTGCAACTTTTGAGCCTCCTTTTCGCTTCCGGCAGAAAGTCAATCAGTCTTAATAATTTATTTAACAAATTACCTTATTAGTAAAGCTGCCAGACAAAACTAAAGTGGTATTTATTTATTTTTTAATTATTTGTGCTGTAGTTAAAGTGGGATAAACTATCAGTTTTGCCTGTGTTTCACTTCAGTTATTTGAACATTTTGTTCTCTTCCACTCATTATTCCCTTTGAAAAAAAAAAAAGCACAGATGAAGGACAGAAAGGTGCCCTCGTCCCCTTCTTTGTTAAACTGGGACCCAGTCTGTTTGAGTACAGCACTGGCCCATATTCTATTTATAGATGTCAGTCTTTCAGTTTCAGAGGGAACACACTGAAATGGGTCAAATGACAGGAAATCCTCTGGTCCTTGACCTGCATTAACTGTCATCAGATAAACTTTCAGAATGGACGAGATCAGACAGTTATATATTTGTCCTAGTAAATTATTTATTGAAATATACTTAATATTATTTAATGTAATGAAACCTCAGCAGGTCATTTAGTTACTGTATGTATCTGCTGAAGTAATAGTTATGTCATGAAACTTTTTATTGCTTAAAAGGTAAAAACATATACCGCTCTAGGACATTGCCAGAACCTTCTCGGTGGTCGGCACATGTCAGTGGGGGTGTGGGGATGCAGCTGGAATGTGACAGGGATGCTCTGAAATGTCACCAATAACCTGCTGCTGCCACCAAAGTTTTAACCCGGCATGTGGCGTGAAAAGTGACACGGCTTTCCAGCAAGTCACCTTGCATGCTTAAACTGAGCGAGTATGTGTGTGTGGTTACTTTGTGTGTGTGTGTGTGTGTGTGTGTGATATAGAAGAGACATTTTTAAATGTAGAGAAAAGGTCTCTGCTTCTTCCTTTTCAACTTATTTCCGGCAGGAAGTTGCAGAAGTCTGCAAACAAAGACACTGAAGTCTAGCTAAAATGTTGAATCTTTAGTAAAAGAAAAAGTTTAAATCTTGTGACATTAGATGGATTGAGTTTTGGTTAGTCTTATAATGTCTCATTACTTGGATTCACTTAGTAACAGACAGACGAGACTGGACAGCCCTTCTATTTCCATTGTAGCTTAGAGTTTAATTACAGTTCATGTAACCAGTTTTAGTAAACTACACATCTGTTGTTATAGAAGGTTTGAAATCACGTTCTTTTTTTTAATAAATGTCAACCTTCCTTTTAACATGAACTCTTTCCACTTTCTACAAATTGCCAAGAGAATCACCTGCAAATTAATCTACTGCTGTTTATTATAAACTTTCTCAGGGAAACAAAAAGTGACAAATCAACACAAGGGTGACTGATGTGGAAAGATTTAAGTTTATTTGTAAGTCAGCCGTGAAACAGAATTTAGAAAATGAACTAAAACCTCCAGCTTCAGTTCCTGGACACACTTGTTTTTCATCTCCATTTGGATTTATGTTTCAGACGACGCTATAAGAACAGATGTGTGGAGTCATTTTGTATTGGGAAATGTGCTTTTCATAAAACAAGTGTGGAAAACAAATTAATATATGTTCTAAGCACAATGACATCCACTTTTCAGTGGTTTTATACAAACCCAGAAGAGGCTTTTATCTTATTGAGAAAAGCACTTTTTTCAAACACAAATGTGCTGTTAGAGAGACATTTAAACAACAACACAGTGACAGACTCAAAAACACTGTGGTGTGACCCGAAAGAACCTGAGAGCCAAAGAAGGAGAAAAGTAAATGCTTTTATGTTGTTAAAAAGGACAGACTTGAAAGAAACAAAATGAAGAAAAAACTGAATGGATGAATAATTAAATTAATTAGAACAAATGACAAATAACATGAAAAAACTATTTAACAACAATAAAAAGTAGGGATAAAACCTCGGCAGCTATGGTTGAGTTGGCGCGGCAATAGGCTCTGGCTTCACTGCTCATTATACCGGATCATTGAGGGGCCGCGATGGGTGTCCTTCTGCTGTAGTCCTCGTCCTGAGCCTGGAAAATGAGAATATGAGGCATTCAAGTGACAAGCTGCAGGAACTAGTTGGCAATACTTTTTATTGATTTTTAATTGATTTGTCTGAAGCTCAGATCATGTTGGTTTTTTTTAGCATGCTAGTTGCTTTAAAGAACCAGATTGATTGAGCTCCGTCTAGGTTCTGGGACAACACTTCCTGTGTGAGACTGATGGTTTTTCACCTGTGAGCTTGTTTGCACTGCTGCTGATCACTAACTGATCACCTGTCCATTACTGTTACTGTGTGTGTTTGTGTGTGTGTGTGTGTAGTTCCACAAACACAACAGCAGACTCTAACCCTTTCGCTTTTCCTGTCTTTCCACCAGTCTACAGTCCCACAGCCCACCTTCTCCATGCCAGTCACCGTACCAGTGTCCAATCAGAACGCAGCTGCGGCCGCATCGCTTCAATTCAGTAACAACCCCGGTGGTGCCCTGGTCACTACCACATCCTTCGTCACCTCAACCCTCACAGATCCACGCCTCCTGTCGCCACAGCAACCAGGTCTGCAGAGGAACAGCGTGTCACCAGGGTTGCCACAGCGACCTGCCAGTGCTGGTGAGAGGTCACTCTGGTTAAAGAAAGTGTTTGTTTGATTTCAAAAGTGTTATTAGCGTCTGTGTTTTCCCTCTGGAACTGTTTTGAACTGGTGTCCAGATCTGCCCTCATTTTTCTGTATCATTTTAAGTTAACAAGAAGTAGTATAAAATATGAGGTAGAACAAAGCAAACACACTGATTTTTATTTTATTTACTTCATGTTTATGTTTAAAAGTGAACCTAAAGGTTCCACAGGAGCAAAATGAAAAAGTGTGCGTGGCAGTATTGATGTTATGTCCACCTGTCAGTCTGGGTCACTGCAGTCACACTGCACTGACTAATAATGACAGAAATCTCATCACTGGTCCGACTGAGGCTGCTGCTCTTCCCTTCTGTGCACCTGCTGCCTGTGTGGTAAACCAATCCTTCACCCTCTGCCTAAAAGGATTTGTGTCTCAGGCAAGGTTACTTATCAAGCTTGGTCCTGACCAGTATAATCTCATTGTATGTAAGAATTAGGTGATGTAACCTGCAACAAATGCATTACAGCATCTTTCATAACAAAGCATTCTCTGAAGCAGGAGAGTTTCGGTAATGGACCTCGCGCTACCAGAGATGTATTGGCCTCATTTTGTTTGCTTTATTGCTATTTTTTTGTTCGTTGCGGAGGTCCAGCCAGATATTTTTCAGTCGCCCTTAACGACCCTCACTTTCTGCCTCTCTCGAGTGTGATTGAGCCAAAAACTGAATCTGTACCACAAGTGGGGAAAATAAGAGTCAGCAGATAAAAATGCAGCCTGCCATGTGGGAGGAACACAGGAATATGCCTTGAATGAACATGAATATACACGAAAAACAAAACCTTCCGCAGCCTTCCGACCAAGCGCTTTAATCCGCATTGACATTTCAAAGCAGAAGTGAGCGACTGGTCTTTATTTATAAGCTGTAAACACAGCCTAACATTTTTACAGCCTCAAGGGTAAACATTTTTTAAGCGTACGACTTAAGCGTCTAAAAATTTGCTCCTCAATTTTAAGTCATTTCTGTGATTTATATTTTAATTATCTCTTTTTTGTTTTTTCTAACACTCTTAGGTTTTTTACCTCTTAATAATAACACTGTTTGAATATTAAAAACTACATCAAGATTTTTAAGTCCCTTAAATGCCTTTCACATTTCCTGTGGTACCTGAACACCCCTCATCACAGACACGTCACTATATGTTATATATAAACATTTTGAGGGCTGTCGGGGGTTGGGGGCTTTTGCGATGTAGCGAGCTACACTTTCTGTGACCGCACGCCATTTTGCCGTTCTGTTTGTACATACTTTATCGACCAAATGCCAGTGAGTTTTGACTGTCAGGTGGACAAGTCTGTGTGTGTATTTTAGCGCCTGCGCTGTCCCCCCACAGAGAGTGGATGACTGACAAGCGGGTTCACTCTGACCGCTGCACAGAGTGAACCCTGTTGTCATCCAGCCTGTTTGGGGGCGAGAGAGGGGGAAAACAAACAGGTATGCACACGGCAAGTTCTTGAGGCTGGCAAAAATTATCGTCTTAATTTTCATTTATCGTGCGATCACTGGATTTATTGATTATCGTCCCCGGCCTACTTGTGGTAGATTATGTTTAGGGAATTCAACTGGACAATCAGTTCGTACAGTAAACTTGACAGGAAAAATAGTTTGGTGAAATTGATGCTAATATAGTTGAAAAATTCTAATAATTTTCTTGGCTCTTTGCTGGGCACGATTAAATTATGTGAACAAACAAGGGTCCACACAGTCTAATATCTGCTGGAGTCAAGATACATAAATATCATTTCAATAAAAAAATGAAAGATGTTAAAAGACATAATTGAAACACATTAGTCTTCTTTTTTCTTAATTGTCTGAAACACTTTCAGGGCGAGTTGTTTTGACTCCTGTGTCCAATAAAAATCATGCAGTGTAAGGAATCCTATTTGACTTCATAACTTTTTTGTGTTTAATTATTTTATTTTACTGTTTTAAATGAGTCCAATAATTCTTTCCTTTTTTCTCAAAATGTGAGAAAAATACCTTAGAGATGTGTTGAAAAGGGCTCTTTAAAATTAACTTGTAATGAAATCAGAAGTAAAACCAATTATGGTCCTTCTCTGAGCGGCGACGGCCTCATTCATTAGCACTTTTCAAATTATGAATTTGGTTAAATCATATGTTATTAAATAAAGGAGATTTAGCTGCATTTTAGAGAAAGGGTGCCCAGTTGAACCTTTAATGTAGAATCATTTCAGTCAGATTTCAGTTTCATCACCGTGGTTTTTTTTTTTTTTTTTTTTTTCGTCTTCTCAGGTGCTCTGTTAGGAGACTTGGGGAATTCAAACGGAGGTTGCCCGAGTCCAGTCCGTGAGTGAACCTCATCTGTTTCATGTGCTTGATGTTTAATGAGTTAGTGATTATACAAACAAAGAAACACTCACACATGCTACACCGTGCAGGTTGTTCCTCCTGCTCCTGTTTGCTTTTTCTTTGCCGAACCTTCGGAAGGAAAGGATTTGTAAGCTTGACTCACTGAAGATGGGTTGGAAGTGTGTGTGTGTGTGTGTGTGTGTGTGTGTCGCAACAGGCTGGTTCTCGTGTACAGACTCCTGCACAAGCACGAAAACACCTGTTGGCTGACGACAGCTGGCCGTCACGGTACAAGCTGCTTGTAAACAGTCCAAAGACCAGAGTGGGCTTCAAGTTGTGAGAGAAGGAGAGAAGCTGCAGTTAGAACAGTTAGAGAAAAAAATGAACAGAAACACAACAAACAGTCACTAATTCAGTAGTTTCGGTTTTAAGTTTCATGTCTTTTATAACTTGGCATTGGGTTAGGGTTAGATTTTATGCAATTGCTTAAAAATGTGACCAATAATATTGCATAATTTCAATGCTACTGTTAAAAAAATGAAATTATGTATTCTACACAACAGAAAAATATATTAAATATTTCATAGGGGTAAAAAAGGGCACTTAATTTACAAGGAAAAATAAAAACGATTGATCAGAATTTGACAAATATATTACAGTTACAAATAGCCTGTATGTAAAACCTTAATAAAAAAAGCAACAAAATAAATAATTTAAAAAAACTGTCGTGCTAAAGTGCACTAAAAAGCTGTCATGCATGTAGTTGAAATGTAGACAGAGGGCAGTGTTCCTGCTGCTGAAAACAGTGACACCAGCTCCCTTTGACCTTTACAGAGAATTATTTAAATACTTATCTCTCTAATCCTACATTTGTTTTATATATTGTGTATCATTTTGGATTCACATTATATACAGTAGCAAGAGTCAACTAGTTAAAGCTTTATTAGTGTAGTTGATTTAACTATATAATTTGTGTCACACCGTGACACCCAGAAGAACAGTCAACAACATCAACCCAGTGTTAAACACAGTGTTTTGTCCTTACTCTCATAAAGCCAGTGTAACCAGTGATTTTAAAGAGTTTAAACCCTCTCTATCTTCTGACAACAATCACTGAGTCCCTCTGACTCCACCCACCGACACCCCTCTCCACTTCATCCTGTCTCCGTCAGCTGTTCCCCCTCGTCTCCTCTCAGGAATAATCTGAGGCCCCACCCCCGTCCAACTGTCCCTCGTCTTGGCTCAGGCCTCTCCTCAGAGGTGACTTTGACACTAGCCAGAGCTCGCTCGCCCCTTAAATCCCATTAGCTTATACAGATAGTGCCAGCCTGTCTGTACCAATGGATGTGTCTCCCTCTCCCTCTCTCTATCTCCCTCTATCTCTCAGTATGGTCACTCTGTTAACAATATTTGTCAGGTCAAGTCAATATACTTTCATTAACTTCCTGCTGTTTTTACAAAAAAAAAGCAGAGTGTCCGTTTTACAGGCACTAGTGCTGCCAGGTGTCCGTCAGTCGAAAAGGAGCAAAGACACATGAGGATTTAGTAAATACATGCTCCGCCGTGTTTGTGGCTCAGTGTTGAGTGTGAGTCAGAGAGTAAATATAAGATAAGGTTTATTTGTTTAAACACGCGTCTTTGGCAGTTTTCCAGCTCTGTGTTTTTTCTGCAGCTTACGGCAGAGACAACACTCTGAGAGAAACGTCTTCAACTGGAAAAAGTCCAATTTACTTTAATGATGTTTTTGCCTGTCTGGTGTTGTTTCAAACATTTGTACCATCTCATCCTTAGAGTTAATTGTTGCTCTGGGCACAAGTTTACTTATGTAATGCTCCTGTTGTTCTCAGTGGGAAGTTGTTCTTATAGACAGGACGTACCTTTCTGTGTGAGTCGTGGATTGTATATTACTAAGTGCCGTAACAGAAACAGGATCAGAATTTACAAAACTGGTGTCATGTTCTATTTACATGACTTAAGATCCTTTAAGAAAACAGAATAAATTAGAATTAGCCACAGTTATTTCTGACATCATCCATTTCTCATATCTAAGGAAATCTTTAGAAAGTTCCATCTAATTTTGACAAAAAAATGTCCTGATGACAACATATCTCCCCCCACTCCTTGATTTCTTAGATCTTCTTCTCCATCTTCACTTTCACACGTGTGTCTTGAGACACTTTTTCCTGCTGTCTTTGCTCTTTGTTCTTTTTGTTTCTTTTCCACTTCCCTTTCGTCTTCTTGAAAACATTCGAACTCTTTTTCTACTCTTTTTCTAAAACCTCCTTTTGCTCTTTTTCTGTACCGCTGCCCTCCTCCTCTTTCTCCTCCCTTCTTCTCCTCCATTGGATCTGTCGTTCTCAGCTGTTGTCCAGGGACTCAGGGCCCAGGGAATGTCACCATTGACGTCACTCAGCATTCCACACATTCCCACACCCTGCCCGGCGTAATACGAGACATCACTCACACTCTCACGCAGACACACACACACACAAAGTGAAGATACTCACAGATTTACACTCAAGCACATGTAAAGGACACAGGGAAGCAGAACGACATTGACCAGATAGAAGTAAAACAGCAGATGTATTAAAAAGAAGTTTCTTTGATCCAGGATACTTTGACAACCTCTTTTCTAGAAGCACCTGTAGGGTTTTTTTTTTGTCCATACTCCTTTTTTCGAGGGACTTTTCCCTCATATTTTAGTTCGGAAAAAATGACACACAGGTTCACATATGGACTTTCTGGATATCTGCTATTTCCATTTTAAGACCTGATCATTTTACCAGTTACAAATTTCAGCAGCTTTTTGGTAGAGTCTTCACATGCAGTGTGAATTGAATATTCACGTTATGCTAATGTAGGCTGTAGTACCATGTTTTGATGTTCTACTTGAAAGAATAAGTGGAGAGGATTATTTAGTTTCTGGGTAAAACTCTCTCTCCAGCCGATCAGACCACTGTGACACATTAAAACACAAGTGGTAGTCAATTGTTATGAGCTTGTGAGTTGTGGACCGTTGCTCCCGGGGGCAACAGCTGGTACTGCACCTGTGTTCTACTAAAATTCAGAGGAAACAAGTAAAAAAGTGTACCTTTTTTTTATTTGACTAAAATCAAGTCAACAGTGTCATTAATAGAAATACATCGCACAGATAAAGATAGGCATAAATTATAAAACCCTGTCATTTTTCTGTCCAAGAATTCTCTTTCCAACATATACTTTTAAGACAGACAGATTCAGGTGATCAATGAAATGTATTTGTCAATCTAAAAAAGAACCCTTTTTAATCCTTAACACAATAATGACATTTAAACCATGCTTTTTTTTCTTCATGGTTTACTTTCCTGTTTCTCTTTACCAGTAAATGCACAGCCAGATTTTATAGTCTCAATTTCCTACTATGATCCAAAGTTGCTGCTCAGGACACATATCTTAACGGCTCTCAGCAGTAAAATCCTAATTCCATTCACTTTCACTCTCTTGGACTTGATGACATTAGCTTTAACAGGGGAAACATTGGTTTCTCCTTTTTTCCTAATTGGGACTAAATTGGTTCTTTAAGCAGCAGCAGCTCAGTTCTCATCAAACGGAGTTAATGTTGTGTTTTAACAATTACCGCCCCTACGTACTCCCTCTGTCTATTTCTCTTCTCAGTCTCTTCCTTTACATTGTCTTTTTCATTTTCCTCTTTTTTCTGTTATGTGCTTTATGTCCTCGTACACTTTCATCCTCTGCTTATTCTGTACTTTTGTGTCAACTGACTTTGTCTTTTCTACTTTTTAGTCCACTCTTGTCATTTTCCTGGTATTGATCATTTATTCTCCAGCTACTATTATTTCTCTTTGTGTCGACTACTACTAGTTCTATGTACTACTACTTCTTCTACTACTTCTACTGCTAATAATAATACTAAAACTAATAATAATAATTGTCTATAAAGATGTCACTGACTCGTCTCAGACCACGGGTGGCCCTGACTCACGGTGCTGATCCCTTTAGTCCAAAAATGGAACTCAAAGACCATGACCTGACCTATGACCAAAGAATCTAGTCTGCACATGTGCTCATAACAGAGCAACAGTTCAGTGAAGTAACATCGCTGTGAAATACACCGAGGGCTACTTTAAAAACAATAAAATTGTACAAACGGTTTCTAACCCAAAGTTATAGTCACTAACGAGTGAAAGCAATCGCCTCCTCAGCTTTATGTTTCTCCTGCTCTCTGTGTGTTGTTTTTTTTTCATTGATGCACCTTCACCTCTTCCCCCAGCTTCCTATTACCCCCACACACTGCACTCCGTCGCCTCCATCTGCTCCCTTTCACTTTCTCCTTCCTGTCTCTCTTTCCTCTCTCCTGCCCTCTTAGCTGATAGGAGAGATTGTGTTTGCTTGTTGTTGTTGTCAGTTCTGTGTGTGTGTATGTGCGCACGCGCGTGTGTGTGCGGGGTGTGTGTGTCTGAGATGAAACAGAGTCACATGCCTGTGTCGTCTGGAGGCAGCATCATGGAAGACTGCTATCTGCTACCACATATCACCCCCTCTCTCACTCTCGCTGTGTGTGTGTGTGTAGCTGGGAAAGTCCCTGTTGTCCCCCTTTCACACACTCAGAGACTGAGCCTCTGTTTGAATCACGGTCTTATTTTAACCTCAGCAGCACAGACAGGCTGCTGTCTGCTGGAGCCTTGTGGTAAAGACACCCTGTCCTAACCAGCCTGTCACAAAGTTTTAAAAACTTAATCTTATCTCATTTCAAAAAAAGGAAAATTTTAAGGATAGTAAATATGGTCATGTCTACAGCTTAGCAAGAGTTGACATTAATTTGTTACAGCTTAAAGTGTATTTAACATATTGACTAGTTTACTTTGTTATCGGTAACATATTACTATGATTTGAATTATAGAGTCAAAGCAAAAAGAGTTTTGCTCATTTTGGTTCTGTTCTCTGCTTTGTCAAATAATGGTCCGGATGATTTTATAGACTCAGTCATTAGTTTCAGTTCTTTAACGGCAAATGATGATGGTGAATTTGGTAAGTTATTATTTTGTTTATTGGAAAATGGGCTAAAAACATGACCTACTTACAGTAAGTGCAAGGCAAAAAACATTAACAGTCAAAAATTAAAGTTGATGGTGGAACACATACAAGGTGAAACTCCAAATAGTTGTTCCAGATTTACTGCTGTTTTTGAAAGATCCTTAATAAAGAAAACACTGTTGTAGCTTTTAGGGACAAACATTCTTACCTCATGTCCATTGATCAGAAGCAACGATTTGATTAAATGTCATCAAATTTTTTTTTTTTAGCTTTAACATACTACCTTACTTAACTGGCTTACACCATGAGAACCAGTCATTCCCTATTTTTTACATACAGTCTCTGACACCAAGAAGTTTATTTTTTCCTTATATAAGTTGTTTGTTCAGTGTTCCCTTTTTAGAAACGGTTCTGCTCAGAAAGCATGTATTTTCCAAATGACAGTACTCAGTATTCAGTAACAGGGGCCCTGCGTACCACACATTTAACTGTGGTGAGCTAGAAAAACGTTGCAACCGTGTGATTTCGGGAAGGATGTTCATTTTTCCAGCTTAAAGTACAGTAGAAGAAGTCCAGGGACAGTTTTCTGTGTTTGTTTTTGGTGAAGTGGCGAGACGAAATGACTTGAAAGAGAAAAGCTGTAGAGAGGGTGTGAATAAAGTAGTTGTGCAGAGAGCGTGACATGGGTTTGATGTGGAGGAGCTGCAGAAAATCAGAGCGCCGCCAGCAAACACTGTTTGAGCTGTGGAAACGTGGAGGAGCATGTGGTGCGTCTGAGCGACTCGGCTCGCTAATGAGAACAAACACACACAGACACAAAAGAGACGAACGCACACACCCAATCAGACAGCTAACACACAGAGTTCACAGGTAAACACAGACACTAAAAACAACACATCACCTCCTCTGTCCCTCTGTGTTTGTCTCACTGTCTCTCTTTTTCCTGTCTTTTCAGCAAACGGCTACATCAGCGCCAGAGCCTCCCCGGGCCTGCTGTCAGTATCCAATGGCAACAGTATGGGCAAAGTTGCCCCGGCTAAGTCTCCACCACCTCACCCACAGATGGTTAGCAGCCGTAAGCCGGACCTGAGGGTCATCACCTCACAGAGTGGCAAGAACCTCATGCAACTGGTAAGTCACACAAAGAAAGTGTAAAGGAATCCAACATACATGAAAAAATAAGATAGCTCTTTCACAAGGGAAAGTTCAAGAGGTTAAACAGAACGTTTAGAAACTCTGACGAAAAAGATCCTTTTTGTCAAGATGAAGTTTTCTTCTTACATCTGGCATTAATAGTTCACAACTAAACATAGAAACGTTACTCTTTATTTAAATCTTTAATGTCCTCTTTGTCTGACGTGGATTTTTTTTTTTTTCTTGCCAAGCACAGAAAACATATGGCTGTCGCTCCTTGATCCTCTGCACAGGCACAGAGGCAATGATACTTCTGTCATTTTTTAACAGATTCTGTAACTACTGTATCTTCATGTTAGCTCGCTGACATAAAGAGGTTTTTCTCTCCAATCGCTCATTATGAATCCTTTTCAACCCTGTGTCAGTCATAGTCCAGATTTTGCGTGTGGTGTGATTTCATTGCACATTACACAGATAATTACAGGGATTCTCTGTTCAGTTGGGTTTAATGACCTTCAAGACTGTGATTGAATGTTGAAGTTAGAATGTAGCTCTTCATTTTCCTCACAAAGACTTTTCCTGAAACTTTTCCCTCCAGCCTTGAAGGCAGCTTATTTGGAAAGGTGCATTCACTACAGCAGGAAAACTTTTGGTTGAGGGGTGGTGTCCCACTCACTTCCTGAGAATTTCCCTCTGTTGTGAAGGCATCCTACCTTGACAACTTTATTCTGCATTCCTCACATGAACAATATTTTCCAGACATTTCTAAAAACAGCTTATGTGACCTAGTCAGTGATATTTCGGTCTGTAATTTGAGACAGTGCCATGCTTGTGTAGTAGACACAGGTACTGTAACTGTCAGAGCTGCCTCTGAGTCTTTACCTGTCACTGTTGCAGGGAAACTCTCCCGTAGGATCAAAACGTGTCATTCGATGTAACACATTTTTGTTTCCTTGACTGACATTCCTTTCATAATGTGACACAACTGTCCTGTTGTAGAGTAGTCGTGTATCTGCTTTGAGTCAGACATCTGAGGGTTTGATTTTTATACCTGCAGCTGGGGACAAGTCACTAGTTCAACACTGTTGACTATGCTAATAATACTGCCTCTAGAAGGGGCAACCTGAGGTTTCAACTTCACCTTCGTCTGTCTTTTACTGCTCTGATGGACGGGACAAAACAAAAAAACAATTTTGGTCCTTCAAGGTCAGATAGCAACAAAGGGTTTTTTATATATATTTTTTTACTTGTTTGCATTTCTGTCCAAATGCAGATTACAGCTGAGTAAGAGTGAAGGTCATGTATTTAAATTAGGTTTCTATGTTAATAATGTTTTTTTTAATGCAAATGCTGTGGAGGTATGAAGGTTACATCACTGACATCGTCTTTCTTAGTGACACTGCACAAGTTTATATTTTATTGGCATCAGAAACATAACTGCCCTCTGTTTCTCCCTCCTCCCCCTTCGACCGGCCCCTGGCAGACAGAGGACGAGCTGGAGTTGGTGAGTGAGGTGAATAGACTTCTAGACATGTAGCCTGGAGGATGTGATGTTGAACAATGTGTGATCTCAAAGAGCATGAGTGTGACGCCATCAGGGTTGAATCAGCAGCACCTGTGCTCTGACACATGTAGAAGGGAATCTGTAAAAATAACAGAGCGAACTGGAAGCAACTCACCTGCAGAAGAAGAGTCAGCTGATCATTCTGGTTTCTCAGTGTTAGCTACAAGTCAACTAGAGTCAAACATTTTTACACTATATGAAAATCTGCTGCACAGTGTCAGCGGTTTATTTTTCTGGTTTAGTTGGAAATAAAAGAATAAAGAATAATAAGTGTGTTTATGTTTCAGGTATTATAATAAAGCTTTATTTAATTTTTTTTTAGAACTGGTTCTAAACACGTGTACAGAGCGTTACTGTCCTTTTGAAAGTACAACTATAGTGCCCTCTGTTTGATCAACGGGTCACTATTTTAGACAGTCTGGTAAACTCAAATGGGTTTTATCACATTCTATATATAATAATGTTTAAATAAGAATATTTATGTGAAAGTAGTGAGTTGTTTACAAAAGCGATACGAACTTTAATTTCCTTTGGTGACTTCATATTATTATATTTTGTCCTGCTTTTCAGCAAAGACCTGTTTAAACACACTGGCTGATTACAGGTGAATTAAACAACAGTATTTACCAAAAAAAAAGAATAATCTCTTCTAAAATTGACCCTTGAACGTCAAGGCTATTTATGTTTTCTTCGGTCAAAAGAGAATTCAAAAGTAATGATGGTCTCGAATGTGGTTTTATGAACCTGCTTTTTTTTTACTTCATCAGAACACTCCAACCTGCAATCTACTTTTCCACTGCAAAAATAAAATGGTTTAGAAAGAAAAACATATTTATAGCACAATAGAGGCCGGTGTTAAGAAAACCAGGGCGACCAGCTGACTCTGCTGCGTGGAAGCTGCTCAGCATGTGCATGTTTGGTTTTCTCTGATTATTGATGCTCTAAGGATCAGAATAAAGAAACAGTGCAAAGCCTAAGATGTGGAAGACACAAATACATATACACACACACACACTGGCAGCACACACACCCACACGTTGCATGCTGACATGTGTTCATGCATTTTCCGCTTCGTAAATACACACATACGCATTTTACTGAATAAAACACAGCGCACGTTGTATGTTTTTTCCACTCACACCTTTTTGCACACATTAATACACAGGCATTTTTCAACACAACCACATTCCTAAACACACACACACACACACTCATTTCCCTTGATCACCCCTCATGCATGTGTTCCTGTCAGCATGATTCTCCAGCACAGTGATATCTCTCATAACACCTTACACCGTGACACAAGCACCCGGTCCTGGCGTTGGTGTTGCCGTGCCAACGCCACCTAAGGATGCGAGACAGTTTCACAAGTGTCATCAAAAAGTTCAACAAGGTGGTTGGATGTTCTCGCGGGGTCCAGAAACACGTTCTCATCTGTGGCACGATGAATATAAAATCATCCTCCGTTCCCACTACACAGGCAGAACAAATGTGACATGTTGGCTGTCAGATGATAGTGAGAGAAGAGGTAGAACGTATGAAAGTTAAAAGAGAATTGCCTATAACACTAAAGAGTGCCGCAAAAGGCCAGGGCTTTTATACAGCAGCAGTTGGGTTTTACTTTGTAGACATAAAGAAAGGAGGAGCTTTAATGCTTGTCAACACACTATAGCCGTGGATTGGATAGGAAGCCCAGTCCTCTTACTGCTGGGCCATGGGCTGCCCACAGAACCTATACATCAAACATATAGGATGTAGATACAAGTGAAAGTTAATGTATGAAATGACCAAGAAAAGCAGACCGTTGTTGTGAGAGTGAACATGTCAGAGGAGAAAGATAATATGAAGGCAGAGGATTGACCAAACTGAATGGAACAGCTAATAGAAGCAAGGAGTCAGCAGAGCTGTAGTCTGATTGTGGATTATTGCTTTTCTGTCGGCTGCCAAGAAATCTTCATATAAGGCAAAAAAAAGTTACTCCAGGTCTCTGTGCTTTGCCTTGCACAGTCCAATAAAGTCATAGATGATTAGTTTTGTTTTCATTTCATCTAGAATCAGAGTGTGTTTTGTTTATAGTGAAATATTTCAGTAGTTAAAGTGTAATTGGGTTGTTCTCAGTCACAGTACAAGGTCTCATGCACCCCCTCTGCTGAACAGCAGAAAGCACATGTTAACTATTATCATCAATGCTGTTGACAATGGATGAAGTCATGAACTCCTGCACTGAGACCCTTATAAGGAGGGAAAGACACGATCAGCTGTGGAACCCGACCAAGATTTTCCTTCCCATAACAGAGATCCAGGAAGGATTTAGACCGGAGCGCTCACATAGATATCTATGCAGGAATAAAAGTTTTCAAAACCTGAATTATGAAAACCACATGTCTTTTACATTTTGACGACATGTCCTCCAACAATTACGCTCACATCAGTAATAAACAAAAGATTCGAGCATGACAGCCCGTGTCTGTAAAAGTGGGAAAGCCGAGAATCACAAGCAACACTCTAATCCCTTTTTTACCACTAACACCAACTGACATCTGTTTTTTGTCCGCAGTAGGAAGAGATAAATAAATACAATCAGCATTCACATCTGGATATAATGGCAACGCAATAGAATCTAGATTTCTTGTGCTTGGCTCTGATCTGGTCCAACTGTAACGCAAACCTGATACTGAAATGAATGTGGAAATTTTGACGTCTTCAATTATATTCCGGTCATGGAGTCTGCACCTGGCTGTATCCTCAAAATGGTCCAAAAAAAGCAAGTGCTTGGGGAAAAGTGTCCTTGAATTACCTGAAAATCCCCATTAAATTGTTGGGGGGGGTGGGGGGGGATGGGTTTCATGCCACTGTATCACAAAGCTAACTTTTGCAAAGCATAAGTGGAGAATGTTTTACCAGACTTCTCCAGCATTGAATCTGTCAAAGTGAGCAAGAATACTTTTTATGCAAAGAGGAAGAAGTTAAATAAATAGCCAAAAAAAGGAAATTGCTAATTAAGAAAAATAAATTGCGTGTCAAATTTTACTGTACAGTGTTTAGACAGATAGTTGGCTTCATTGCTGTAATAGGTCATAGTATTCAAAATGCTCCAAAACTATGAATTCTAGGGTAAACCTCCGTGGAAACAAAAGCTGATTTCCTCTAGTAATAAATTAATTTTCCACTTCTAGTTGTCAGTGTCCTCTGATCCGCACTTGAGCCCGTCCTATTCCTGTCAGTTCTGGTTCCCAATCAACTGTGTCTGAAAAGGCGTTGGTTATTTGACTTTTTAGGTTGACTTTCTGTAAAACTTTTCACATAGATGTAGTTCAATGATTAAAGGCTTCCTTCTTTTTGTTAAATCAAACAGTATGCAGTTGTGTAGCTGTAGCTTCAGATAAAGTCTTCCAGAAACAAAGCCTTCAGATAAAGGAAGGAGAGATAGGTTTATTGGATATAACACATTTTGATGCATTGGATTCTCATGGGAACCAACTGATCCTGGTACAGTTGTAGACCCAAAACAGCCCGTGTTCTTCCCTACCAGAGACTCTGTAACGTTCTGTCTCCTGCTGTTCACCTTCATTTCTTCATCACTGTGTCCTCCCAGAATGCTCAGCGGCTAGGCGGATCCCAGGTGGCCCAGTCGCTGACTACACCGGTGGTCTCCGTGGCAACACCCAGTCTCCTAGCGCCCTTCTCTGGCATGCAGACGGCCTACAACACTGGTAAGACATAGATAGATGTCACTGTAGATTATGAGCAACTTCAACAGAAACGGTTTACATCAGGTCAAGACATAAACTAGGGACGGCTATCATCTTGATCAGAGCCTCTCTCTGAACTCATCCTCCCTCCACAGACAACCTCAGTAGTTCCACTTGATCTTCACCACTCATTCTGTCTCACCACGAAATTAAATTAGTTCTGACTGGATTATTTGCTTTTATTCACTGGTGAAAATTTCAATACATTTCATCATAGCTTCAGCCCTTGTGCAGTTGTTATTATTTCAACATCGCAGGGTCTTTGACAAAAACCGTAACGGTTTTATCGCTACTGATGATAGCTACCACAGCCAGTGTCTTATTTTTAATGCAAAAACTGTAACATGAAGCAAAGTGAAAGATACAGTCTCTTTTACTGTACGTCAGGAAAATGTTAAGTGCTCTGTAGAAACACTTGAAAGGCTCCCTGTGTGGTGGCATAAACCGCTATGAATATTCACTTTGTTCATTGTGTGAGAGCTTCTGGAATGATTCCACTTCAAAGGTCTCCATTAATATGGATTAGCTCTGATTAATATTGATGTGCCAGGAAGTTGTATGATGTAAAACAATCCTCACCCCCCATTTCCCTCCGCCTCCTTTTTTTTTCGCTGCCTCTCACCCATGTGCCTCCCTTCCTCTCTCATCCCTCAATCTCAGAGTACCAGCTGATGAGTGCAGAACTCACGGCGCTCCAGACATTCACACCGCCAGGGCTGGTGCCTGGCAACATGGCTGCCTGGCAACAGCAACAGCAACCAGCAGTTTCCCAGCAGCAGCATCAGCAGCAGCAGCAGATGAGCCTGGCATCGCTCACCAACTTGGTGTAAGTGAACACATACATCACAAACGTCCTGACCTTTAACCTTTCAACCCACTGTTCTTTTGTTTACATTTTAAACTGTAAATACGGTGCAACACAGCCAACGTAACACATAGCGCTTATAAAATCCTTGAAGCGTTTCCTCCAGGAGGCTGCAGCTGAAGCCTCGGCCCAGCTGCAGTGAATTCATCTTCATGGTGACCCAGTTCTACCCTCACCCTCCCACCCACAGACTGAAAATCCCACTGGAGTGCCTCTCTGATTTTGCCCCTACTAGAGAAAAAAAAACTGGTCCACTTGCTGTGTTTTCTGCCACACAAGCACACATGCGGTATTTATAACTGCTTCGTCTTCAGCGCTGTTTTTTGGCTGACCAAAATAATCATAATCGTCAACAAGAACAGTTTTGTATGTTATTCACTCAGGTAGGGAGCTAGAGTCGTTTTCTCACTTCAGTTTCTAGATATTAAGATACGTTTTGAGGTTTTTAACTGTAATGTAGGGAGAACACAGCAGGACGGGAGGTTCAGAGGAATTTACAAGAGGACAGGGATGTTGAAAACATCCAGGTGAACGCTGACCTGAGGTCAAACAAACACTAGTCTGAATGATGAGTTTGTCCTGCTGTGTTCCTGCATCAGCTTCCTTGATAATTGCTTGGAAAGACTAATGATGTCAGATATTCAGAACATGGATTAACACCAAAGGCATAAACAATTAACATTGACGTGTTATCCAGTACTATTAGGGAAATTTTTTAATTTATTAATTTACTGTACCACAGTGTAGCAGTTATCGTGCCTGCCTTCCACACAAAAGGTCCTGCGTTTGAGCCCCAGAGGAACCACATATTTAATGGCCTCTCCTGTGGCAGGCTGGTTGGGTTGCAAAGACTCATGCTGTGAACTTCCCTTCCCTTAATATTCCCCTATAGCTTGTAGGACAAAAGGGACTTAATATTTTATATGAATTTTTCATCAATTGATTGTAGACATTGTGATGTTGAGGCTATACTGTTTAAGACGTTGAAGCCAAAGGAGTAAGAAAAGCGTTTGCTTCCTGTTTGAATGTTGTTCCGCCTGTAGCTGCCTTTTAGCCAGCTTTTTATGTACATAAAAATAGAACATTGACTTAGTCAGACCTGTAGAACTTCCAGCTGAGGGATGACTGCGTTCACAGCACAGACTAATTTTCTTCACATTCACATATGATTGGAATCAACATGATTGTGTTAAGATGAGTAAAACTGGACTTTTGTACTAAACGTGAAAGTGAAAGTTTTATCGCCTGCTGCTAACAGTTAACTTAACAGTGAGCAGATCAACCCAAAACTTACAGACCAAAACCAGACAGCTCTTTTTCTGTGAATGAAATGATCTCCCTCTTGTACTCAAACAGGAAGGTCATGTTGGAAAATCTTGGAATTGAACACAGTTTCTTTGAAAGATACAGAATACAAATGTAATTACATTTTAGTATGCAGTTTTTAACAAACATTAAAAGTTTGGTTTTTTTTATTTCAGCAAGGGATTTTTTTTTTTTTTTGGTCTCTCACTTAGCACAGCATCTCAATGTTAGACATCTGGCTGTGCGCAGTTCACCTGCAGATGAGGGAGCAGCTCTAAACTGCCTTTTATTTTGTCTCTCCCTCTCTCCCCTGCCTCCTTCTCTCCACAGCATGTGGGGAGCAGACAAACAGAAAGCAGACATGGTTAACTGCATCTCCAATTTTGCTGCTAACCTGAGGTGAATGACACAATAAGCATCTGTGAAGTCAATAAACAGCTCAGCCAAGGGTCAAAAACATTAAAATAACCTAAAGAAAAGAACATCAAATCAAACCATTGCCTCATCTCTATCTCTGTGCTGCTTGTTGCTTTGCTGTGTCTGCACATCATCGCTGTTTCACTTTACTTGAAGCCACCTTAAAGCTCACATCTGAAGCTCTTTAGAAGCGTCACCACCAAACGCACCTTAGCGTGGAGGTGACAGCACCTCGTTAACGGCTTGAAATGAATAGGAGTCTATCCGTGCTGCCTTCAGTCTAAAACACTGAGCTGGGGCTCAGCTGTGTAAAGCAACATGCTCACTGCATTAAATTTTTACCTTTCATCCATTTAGCTGTCACTCTCAGGTGACAATGGAGCGTAAGCTTCAATTCCTCAGACACACAGGACAGAAACGCAGCACTAAAAAGAATAATTTAGACATAGCATTGCTGTCACAGCTACTTACTCCGCATCCAGATAACATTAAATAAGAACCACTGCTGTTTTCTGATGATCAGTTAACCTGTCACAATCAGGAGTATGCTCTTATGATGATGGGGAATTTAAAGTTTAACGTTTGACAGGCCACTAATGCTGCTGTCCTTCAGTTAGGAACACACGCATCAGATGATTTCTCTAAGCACAAAGATGAACGAGGAACTGCCGAGAGTCTGCGTCGCACTGAGAAGATTAAAAATAATGTGTCTGTCAGTGCAAGGACTATAATCTGTAGCTCTGTGTCACAAAGTGGAAATACTATATTTTTTTAATATGAGATTTGAGGGCAGCAGTAATACAACACAAATAAATGACAACATAAATTGTAAAAAAAAAAAAAATTCAATTGGACTCACAGTTCACTACGGTGGCCTAAGACACCTGTGTCCTCATCTGGACCATATATAATAGGCATGTCCGTGTCCAACAGCTGACCTGGGGCCCATTAGTGATACTGAGTTCTCTTCTCCTTTTTTTTATGGCTCACCATCAAAGTTTTCTTTTGAAATTTTATTTTTGGTCCTTGGTATTTCCGGCTAAAGTTAATATTTTTTTTCTGACCACTTAACAATTTCATGCTTTGCAGGTGCCCTTGTTTAAAGTAGTTGATCCACCAGAGGTCTCCCCAATCAAAGATTTATCTAACTTCAGTAACTGATTAACCAAGTTCAGATCAGTAATGATATTACATTTTTACTGTCGTCAAACAGTAACAACCTAAAATAATGCCTTTACTCACACTGTGCTCACACGTTCAGCAGAAAACTTCTGCACTTCTTTGACGGACCCTTGCCCTCAAACAAGTAAAAAGTAATCTTAAGATTTTCTTCAGAAACATATTTATTTTCTGTAATAGTAACCAGAGGTCTACTTTGACCTCCAAATTTTTTACTTTAGTCTGGATCATTGTTCCTATCATTAATATTTGTTAATATTTAATTTAATATTTATCAGTAAAAAAACAAAGGACAAGGAAATGCTTCGCAGTGATCTGTATTCACTATAGTACATCTTATACACAGTATTTACACAAAACAGCAAGTATATAATTCACGGTCAAAAATCAACTGTCACACATACATACCTCATGTTCTTTAACTGCAAAATACAGAAAAAATCAGTCATATTTAGAAATTATTTTTATTTTTATTTTTTTTACTAATCTTGAATCCAGATTTAATTTATGCTGAATAAAGGTTATGCTTAGTCATGATTAGTTCTAAATAAACCACAGCTCCCCTGTAGTTAATCGTTTGACAGCCCTATATACTGTATATTTATGTATTTAACATAAATATATAATATCCATATTATATTATTGTGATGAAGAACGTTAAGTTTCAACTTTTCTTTAAAACTCTGGCAACAATAGTCATGATTTTAGTGGAGGAGCTGGGTTTTAAATTTAACCGTCACTGTGCAGCCTTGTCACTGCTGTGGCACCTTCAGGCCTGACACTGGAACGAGCACCAGGCAGGTTCTCTGTGTTGTGTGTGGGAACCGAATGACAGAATAACTGTCACTTAAAACAAGCCAGTGCCACAAAAAAGCGGGAATCTTTCCCAGCACACCAAACTGTTCTCTCTGCAGAGCGGAAAAACCGTGTCATTCCTAGGACAGCATGGGCAGACGTGGGCGCTTGTGCAGCCCCGGCTGCTCTGGTTTGCTTTTGATTTCCCCACAGCGAGAGAACAAGCCCGTCCAATCACTTGGTGATTGACGGTTTGGCAGAAGACCTCGCCTTCGCTGTCGTCCACACTTTTCCTTCACGGCAGGCTCGGCGGGGAAATGATTCCTGTCGTCTCTTTTCTTCTCGTTCCCCTTTTTAATCATTTTTTTTTCTACCAATACTTGTGCCATCTCTGCCTATTTCCTGCTCTTTTGTCGGTTTAAATCAGCTTTCATCTGTTGACTCTCATCTTCATGCCCCAATCTGAATGGTAATGTCACAGCTGCTTCTGCTGAGCTTGGCTTTCAGCTTAAACTGCCCTCTGCATGTGGAAGTGCTCTGTGGATGCTGTTTGTCCTTTTGTTGTTGAAGTGTCATCATTGTTGTCTCACGGAGTCGTTGTGTCATCAGCAGATGCTGTGTCCACCTAGGCGGGAAAAGACTTTTGGCATTGCGGTTGCTGTTGTCCATTTGCTCCACATTTTACTGAGTTGGAAATGTGTTAAGTTATGACTAGAGTGAAAAGAGAACGGAATTTTTCTGTCACTCGAAGACCACTGCTGTGGTCACTGGAGTGTATGTGTGTGTTGACTCCACACACTCTGCTATTGTAAGTAATTCTCAAATGTTTACACCTTTAGCCCAACACTCTTTTCCAGGTTCTTTTTTTAAGGACTTTCCAGTATTACACATTGACTTTAATTACTGATGGCGTTTTTGGCTTGCTGGTCAGATACAGTACAGTGACTATGGGGAAATGGTTGGCTGTATAAACACTGGTGTTTCACAGTTGTTTCACAGTGATTAAGGTCATCAAGGATGATTTCCTGTTAGGTAACGGTTGAAGTTGCTTAGCATTTGAAACTACATTTTGAACATGCTTTAAGGCTAT